AAAAAAAAAAAAAAAAAAAAGAAATGTACATAGAGGGATGACCATGTGAGAACACAGTGAGAAGGTGTTCACCTGTATGCCAAGGAGAAAGGACACAGGAGAAACCTTGACCTTGGACCTCTAACCTCTAGAACTGCCAGACAATAAGCCTCTGTTGTTTAAGCCGACTGGCCTGTGGTGGCTTGGTCATGGTGGCCGTAGTACATGAACAAACCAGCAGGCTCCTGTATGCAGAGATCTGACTCTTGCTCACCACGCCCTGGGAGGCGGCAACTGGGATCTTGTGTTACACTGCAGAACAAGCCTCCTCATGAGAGCTGAGGGATGCCAGAGGTCATAGAGAAGGTCGATGGTGGAAGGGAGTCTCAGCAGGGGGGTGAACTTCAGAGTCAGAGCTTCCACTACAACCCAGCTCTGCCTCTCAGACGGGGGACCCTGAAAAACTGTTAAAGGAGCAGAGGGCTCTGGATCCACTGTGTCCCTGCTGGGGAAGGGGTGGCAGCCACAGACTCCGAGCCAGGATACAGAAGTTGGGCTCTTAGGCCTGCAGTCCTTGGTTCTAGTCCTGGCTCCATCACTTACTAAGTGGCCGTGGGCAAGCCGCATGCTTTGGACTTGACACCACAGAAAGAGGATGATGATGAGGACAATTTTCCTTTTTTCTTTTTGTAGAAATGAGGTCTCACTTATTGCCTAGGGTGGTCTTTTTTTTTTTTTTTTGAGTTGGAGTCTCACTTTGTTGCTCAGATTGGAGTGCAGTGGCACCCTCCCGGCTACCGCAGCCTCAACCTGCTGGGCTCTGGCGATCCTTTCGCATCAGTCTTCCAAGTAGCCAAAACTACAGGCATGTGCTACTACACCCGGCTAATTTGTGATTTATTGTAGAAATGAGGTCTCACCAAATTGCCCAGGCAGGTCTTGAACCTGTGGGCTCAGGCAATCCACTCACCTTGGCCTCCCAAAGTGCTGGGATTACAGGCTGAGCCATCGAGCCTGGCCTAGGCTGGTGTTGAACACTTGGGCTCAAGCAATCCTCTCCCCTCAGCCTCCCAAAGTGCTGGGATTACAGGCGTGAGCCACCGAGTCCAGCCACTGAGAACAATTTAACACCCACTGGCAGGATTTCCATGATGACCATGAGAGCTGATACATACAACTAAACCTGAGACTGCTGAAAGGTAAAAGTTCCCTGTGATTAAGTGAGAGTGGCGGTCACCAAGGAAGCAGAGTACACTTAACAGGTCCCACTGGACTCTCTGGGAGAGTACACTGAAACATCAGATCTTTTTTTTTTTTAGTTGGAGTCTCACTCTGTCGCCCAGACTGGAGTGCAGTGGCCACTCCCGGCCACCGCAGCCTTGACCTGCTGGGCTCCGGCAATCCTTCCACCTCAGCCTTCCGAGTAGCCGGAATTACAGGCACACGCTACCACGCCCGGCTGACTTTTTGATTTACTGTAGAGATGAGGTCTTACTGCCCAGGCAGGTCTCAAACCCGCGGGCTCAGGCAATCCACTCACCTCAGCCTCCCAAAGGCGCGGGATTACAGGCTGAGCCACCGAGCCCGGCTGAAACATCAGCTCTTAACATGAGCTCAAGACTAGCATCTTATCAACGCTTGATAGTACTGGTTAACAGGGACAGGCCACGCCGGGCACACAAGTCGTCAGCACCTCCACGAATTCACCACCAATACTGAGGAAATGAAACAGGACAACAGGCAATATGAGATGTATCAATGAGACTTGCTCAGCCTACACTCTGCAAAGTACTGTGGCAGAAGTTCTGGATGTTTGTGTTCTCAATCAAGAATGGGAGCTTTCCTTTGCTAGAGAGAAGCCAACAATGACTATAAATAAATGCAAATGAAGGGCCGCAAGAATGAGGGGAAAGAGAAGAGCCCGGGCTTTAAAACTGGAGAGACCACGGTTCAAATCCCGGCTCCACCACTTACTAGTTATATAACTTGAGCAATTAATTTACCGAACCCCTCTGAGTCTCAGGTATCTCATCTATAAAATGGGCTGATGGCACTGACCTCTTGGGACTTCTGTGAAGAGTAGTTATCCAATATGCAAGGCAGCTGGTATCAGAAAGGTGCCTATACCATCATGATCACGATCACTGAAACATGTCTTGAAGATCAACAGCCCAGATAAGGAAGTAAAGGGCTCCCGGCAGCCCTGATGCTAGAACATGGTGGTTCTGGTAATGAACTTTGAAAGTTAACAGTACGTGGAAATGAACCAGGAAGCAACGTGGCAGAAAAGGGTAACATAGCACATGGACTGCTCATAAGGAAAGAACACCTGGTTGTTTGGCCAAACACTTTAGGGCAACTATTCCCATATCAGGCCCTGACATGACCACAGGCAGAACCCATGTCGATGTCACGGGACATTGAAGAGAGAAGACAAAAGGATGGGTGATGTCTGCTTCCTGGGAAAAAATGCAGGGTAGGGAGCTTCTTACTGGATCTGCTTTAGCAACAAGATGGAATAATGGCCAGAAACAAAGAAGGGGGGCGGTTCTGGCTGAAGTGGAGATGAGACCCAGACAGAGACCTCTCTCAATACCTCCAGAAAATACCAGGGATCCCCTGAGTCCCTACTGCACCCAGCATCCATCAGTTACCAACATCAGTGCAATACCACGACTAGCCTGAGTTGGATTTTTTTTTTTTTTGAGTCGGAATCTCACTCCGTCGCCCAGGCTGGAGTGCAGTGGCACGCTCACAGCC